GGAATATCTAGAAGAGAAAAAATTATTCTTAGTACATTTTAGTGTTGAGTCAATTTTACTTAATGAAAGGAACCTGTAGGTCAATAATTTTATATCCTCAACAAAACCATAAAAAAGACATTAAAAAAATTAAAAAAACAATGCAAAGAACAACTATTAAAAACTGGTTTTAGACTCCTTAAACTTCTCTCTTTAGATTGCCTATGACTAGAAAGTTACATCCACAAAAATATATACAATAGCTGAAGAATTAAATGCTGTATTTTCCAAATTTCATTTAAAAATACAACAAACCTGACAGTGAAGTTACTCTGTGGCGGTAGGATTGTATCTACTACGCAAGTCTCACGAGAACAGTTTAACCAGCACAAACTTCCTCATGTGAAAGACACTAGATTCGGCACCCACATTTGAGAACAGGATGTTGACTACACCACTTGGTTTCTCTATTAACTATTTGACCAATCTCAAACTATCTCGTAGTTCAATTGGGCCATCACTGCTTAAAAGTTAACAAGGTGTGTTTAATTATCTACCAAGTTATACCACGCTTGTAAGGAATCACATAAAAAGCTTACTGTGGTCCATGTTGCCTGTTACGTTTTCTTTTGTTATTTTTTATTTTTACATCTGATAACTTCTGTTTTTTCCTTGTCAGGTTCTGTACAGAAGAGCTGTCAGAATCTGTTTGAGACTCAGTGTCCTCAGGGTTTGAGTAAACAGCTTTATTGGTTCTGCAAGGAATCTTTCCGGGTATCTTCCCTGAAGACTTGGCTGGCAACTGCTTCTTTTCAGAATTCTTCACACTCTCCATGGGATGCTGTAGTGCTTTCACAGGAGATTGGTTATTTGCACCACCAGGTGACTCCAATGTGTGCAACACATTTCTAGGCTTTTCAGACACAGCCAATTTCTGAATCACGGGAGTCTCTAATTTCTGACGCAAGGGTGTGGTACACACATCTTTCAAATCTACAGGCTCTCTTTCATGCTCTTCTTCACTAGGTTCACTGTCAGAACTCTTCTCTCTTTGCAACTGAGGTTTTTTACTACTACTTTTCTGGACAGATTTTTTAAGCTCCTTCCTTGAACTTAATGCCACTTTCTTAGCTACTTTAACCTTAGGAAGTTTCTGCTTAGCAGTTTGTTTCCTCTTATCTAAATGCTGAGAAGCTTTTGAAGCTGACTGCAGATTCTTGGAAGACTTGAGAGACTTTTTTGGAGACACAGTCTGCTCTTGTTGATGCCCAGATGAGGGCATAGGCAAATCTTCACTTGGCAGCACCCTTGTTTTACATTTTTCTGCATCAGATGTTTCTGTTTCCCATCCAGACCATGACAATATCAGTTCTTCAGCTTCTGGTTTCCAGGATGTGTTCTTTTTCTGGTTTGGAGAGTCTTGTCTAAGTGCGTCCTTTTTAGTCTTTCCTATCAATACACAAAACATTTGGACATTAATATCTTTTTACATTAAACAGATACATGTTGACATCTGAATGCCTAAAAATAAACCAAAAATTCAAAATGGGAAAACAAACAAACAAAAGGTATCACAAAACCAGGTTTGTTCCTGAAGGCTAAAAGAAGGCCTTCTCTAAACTAGAGTGTATAAAAAAACCTTTTTAGTGTACTTCCAGTATTTCCTAACAGAAAAAAAAGGGAGCAGAAATGTTACATTTACCTTGCTATCCAGTTCTCAGTGTTTCCTGCTACAAACCTTTTCACAAATAATTCCTAAAACCCAATCCCCTTCAGTTTGAAGCATGTGTCTTAACCTCCTTCCTACCTACCTTCTACCCTACGTACCCTACCATGTGGGTACCTACCTTCTACACCAGCTCATAAGGAAAGACGACACCACTAAATTAATTTTTAACATCCTAACAGGAAGGGCAAAGAGGATGGGAAAAGTGAAAACACTCTGTCTCACTGCCTCATACACATCCAAATCTAACTGTGGAACTGAAACATCAAAAAGGAATCCATTAATGTCTCTTATCTACTTTATTATAATTTCCTAATAAACCACCACAAAATAATCCGGTAATATGACCTGGAAGGAAAAGTTTAAGGAGCTGTTAAAGAACTTACCTGTATGAGTACTCTTTTGGCTTTGAGATTTAAGGACATTTCCTTCACTGTTAGAGATTGGATCCGATTTCGACGTTCTTTTGATGTCAAAGGCTCCAGCATCCAGATTATTCAGTTTCTGTTTAGTAAGTGCTTCAATCTGTGCTTTCCTGTTCTTGCCTTTCTTACTCTGTGTCTTTCTTCTGTTCAGAGGGCTGAGATTTAGAAACAGGAGTTGCAGAGCCATCTTTTTTTGATTTTCTTTTCTTACTGGGTATTGAAATCCAAGAAGGAAATGATGCACCACCTGAGTCATCAATTAAAAATTCACATTTATTTTCGATTTCCATATCCTGATCTTTCACAGGAGGAGGTGATGGAGGTGATATCGAGGCTGAATATCTACAGAAAGGAGTGACAATGACAAATCATTTTGGGCGGTGGGGTAAATTGACTTACAATCTTTAAGATCTAGTGGTGATTCCAGAACACCTAAACACAGTACAGAACATTCTTCAGAATGCATTCATTCATTGCTCTTCAAGCTTCCAGAAAGAGCACAAGGCCTGCTTCTTCTTGCTGATGCTGGACAGTCAACTGGACAGACACTGGACAGTCAATTTCCTACGTAAGCAGCCAGATCCAGACTAGCTCTGAGAAAAGACTGCTTGCTCACTGTAAACTTCAAAATCACATAAGGTTTTCCTGAATCCTCTAGGCTACCTATCAACAGACATTATTCAACACACCATTTTACTGGCAGACAAAACCAAGAGCACTGTTAAATTCTACACAAAATTTTGAAACAACCATTCAAACCCTTTCTCAAGTGGCATTTTTAAGTAATGTTCGACTATCACAAAACATGCTCCCAGACTTTGTTTATAGATAAAAGGATGTTGTTCCGATATTCAGACCAGAGTTATTTTAATAGCAAATTATGTTCCATATTAAGCCTCAAAACAAACCTCTGTCGAAGTGTTCCTGTTGCTACAGCTGCTAAGAGAGCTGAAGAGAAAGTCTTCTCTTTCTGCACAGAAGATGTAGCAACAGGTTCTGTTCCTTGCACAAGAACAACCTGCTCATCTCTCCCAGTCTGAGGTCCTTCCAAATTTTCAACTTCTCCACAGCTCTTTGCTGCAGCAGGTGTATTCCAGCCATCAAGACATAATCTATGTATGAAGAACAGCATTCAGATATATTGCTATAAATCTTGTGAGTGCACAATAGAGTATTGTGAGGAAGAACAGATGCTCCTGCTGACAGTGTCTCACTTAGGAATGAGTTTCCCCTTGGTAATTTACTGAAACATGGCCTAGCTGTAGTACTTCCCAGCACAGTAGCATGTGTCCAAAGCAATACAGAGTCTTATGGTGACTCTTGATCAAAGTAAAGGCTGCTCAGTAAGACAAATTCCTAATTTGTCCTAATGTGCTTCAGAAATTGTCAGGTTTCCTAGACTGTAGGTACACTGTCTTCCCAATCTCACTTCATCAATGGGAATCGATGGGATCAGTGTCAGTCCATCTCTATGATCTACCCTACAGGCTCAGCCCTCCAGGAAAGCAGAACTGTGGTAAGGACCACTGGCCAATACTGCAGTTGGGCTTCAAATTTTCCAGTGGGGAGATAGAGATCCCAGCTTAAGTTTTTCTATTTCGTATAAAAAACTCGTCTATTCAGAGTGAGAAGAATGATGACTGTTCATTTCTACTTTAACAAATTCTTGTTAACTTCTAAGGTCAATACTGTCAATAGGATTCACTGAAAAAGTCTGGACTACTTAAGAAGCTGATACTTTGGTGAACTTTTCTGCAAAGAGTTCAAGTCTATTCTGACAGGCTTCCTACACTTGGGTGCTGCACTTATCACCAGAATATTTAATAAAAAATAATTCTGTCCTTCTTAAAAACAGATATGGAAATTTTCTAAAAAGCTTGGAATTATTTTTTATGAGTTCACAATCTAAACTTATAAACGATGGAAACCACTGTGTTGATTTACCCTAAGGTGGAGGGCACACAGGGGATGTAACACCACAGCCATGTTCAGCTCTACTTACTTAACTACCGGAGAACTTTTCCCTTTCTCCAAAGGAAAAGGTGATCCAACAGACCCGTGATCATCCTCAGGGTCCAAAAACACGGCAGGACTTCGGCACAGCGCTTCAACATCTAATGTAGTTTTTTTGCTTTCAGACACAGGAGACTCTGTTTTTTTAGAAACATCTACATAATCATGTATTGCAGGCTTCAAGGGTGATTCACACGACTGTCCTGCCATATATATAGAACAGGTTTAATTCCTCTACTCAAAACCTTACAAAAAAACCCCCCAAGAAACCCTTAATTCAGTACTAGTGGGACCAACCTCTGCTGCTGACTGGTTTTAGCAGTGATGTAGGTGAGGATTCTGGAGAATAACAGGCTCTTTTCACAGAGTTGGTTGATCCTGCCTTTGGCTGTCCTAGTTGGTAACGAATAATGAGACGAAGTAAAATAGTTGATAAAGCAACAGTATTTTGATAGGAATACAAATTTCTACAGAACATGATATACTTTCCTTCCCTTAAATCACACTGTGATGTGAATCACAGTTCTATTTTAACTAAACACTTCAACTTTCTATCAAGTAAGACTTTCTAGAAGTAACTATAAATTTCAAATAACAGGAAAAACAGTGTGTACAGCAAAAATCTATATGCAGCTTTAAACAGGCATCCTGCTAGTCTCCAGGCAAGCTATTCTTTTCATTAGAATGAATTATTTTAAACAATTTAATTCACCTTTCTTAAGACAGGCTGAGGTTTTGCAAGAAATTATTTGACATTATATGGTATTCTAACATCAAACTAAAGTAAACAAACACCACTATAAAGGATGTCTGTTCTCAACCCTGCCATTAACAGAATATCCTGTTAATGGATCAAAACATTAAAATCAAAACATTAAAATTAAATATACAAACTAGATTATTGGCATCATTTTCCCAGCACACTAACAAGGCCTTCAACTTGTTTCCACTCTTCAAGAAAGATACATATATACAAAGTTATTGTACAGATAACTATCAGGAGTTAACGAGCTTTTGGACAAGCATCACCTTTCAACTCTACTGTTCACTATTTAGCTAAGAACTGTGTCCATATATCTAGCAAAGTGGCCAAAACCAACTACAATGGAGTCCACGACAGCCACACCCACCAGCAGTAATAAGGCAGCGTGCTCCAACCTGAGACCATAAAAAATTTAAGTGTCCTGGACAAAAAGCTGAAAAAGCTTTCACTAGAAAAAAACCTGGAAAATAAGCTATTAAACAAATCTAATTACAGAATATTTACTGTAAGAGCACAACAAACTAAGAAAAAAACCCATTATCAACAACTATTACAGATGGTTAAATTGTAGCCTATATACTGTTACAAGTGGCATACGGAGCTTCTTCAATGCTCATACAGAACTAAATCCTACAGAACTAAATTTGTACCCTGGTGAAACTGTACCCAAAGCTATACTGTGACATTGCCATAACTAACTTACGCTTTGGCTCTGCACTGAAGTCCTCTTCCTATTTTTGACAACAGGAGCTGAGCAAAGGGTTGCATTTGGAGAGTTTATTGTAAGATCACTGCTGCAACCTATGAAGAAAACACTGTAAGTATGGGGATCTTGGAATTGTCCAGGTCTCATTTATTTTAACAAGTTGCTACAGCTATTAAGGTCACATAAACCCAAACAAGAAAGGAATCAGCTACTCAGGAAAGATTACCTTTATAAGACAGCTAAGACACAGTTTTAAGCAACTGGGAGGGGGGTGCTTTTCAAGACCCTGAGAAAAACTTCATTTTTATCCATTTTATCTCTAATTTTTATTTCTATTTACTTACCACTAAATATAATATAAAGAAGAAATTATTTCTTCTTTTACCAGCAAATTGAGTAAAACACCAAATAAGAGCTTACTTTCAAAACAATCCTGTATGAGTTTCAGTACGTTTTGACCTGGCTGTACATCAATCTTACTTCTAGAAAGAAGAGGAAAAAAAAAATATTTTAAATCAAAAATATCAAATGTTCTTATCCCAGCAATAATAAAGCAGCAAAGTTCTTACTTCTCAATATTTTAAATTATTGTTTCCTCTAGTCTCAGCTTCAATATACTTTTACCTATCATTTCCACACATAGATATCTGCAAAGAAACTTGTCAAAATAAGAACTCCAGGGAAAAAAGCCTCACTGCCACAGATTATGATGAGAATGAAGAATTCTCTCTACATAAAAGAAAACACACAACTACTTCCCTGAGGTAAAAGAGCTTTGGGGTGAAGAAAGTCTCTCTTGAAATAAACATTTTTTGGCCAGAAGTGAGCGATTCACTAGCCAGACAATGTTGATCAAAACCAAAATAACACTAGAAAAGACATGGGGTATTACTCCCATAATGATCATTATACACAGTTGATTTGGTAGATTTGGTAAGCTCTTGAAATGCAAGTCTAAAAATGGATTCCAGCAACAAGAACTTCACAGGCTTCTGACGTGCCTTTAAAGAATGCTACAGCACTGCAAATACTCCAACTCATCTCTAGCATTTAACCAGCAAGGTCCAAATACACTGGAACTCTGTGTGGGCTTCATTTCTCTACTTCTCAAAAGGCAAAATGTCTGCACAGACTACTCCTTCCGTACTCAGGCAGCCGAGTTAGGAGCACCTTAGGTATAGCAACACCATAGTTTGCTGCCTCAGCAAAGGAAACAAAGGAAAACCTTGGGGCTTTGTCCCCCAGCACTGTTTGCTCCTCCCACCACTAAGAAATACAAGAAATTTGGGAAACATCGTATGATCGGATTAATAGGATACACCGTATAGCTTTGACATTATGCTCTCAGATAAAAATCCACATAAGTTTTCCAGAATCTAAGAATAAAACTTCAAATGCAAATTACCCTCCTCCATGGCAGAATCTTGCTCTGTAGTCTTTTTTTAAATGATTCTGTGAAGAAATAAGTTCTTACTAGGCATAATGACACTTGACAGGAAAACAAGTAAGCAAATATCAAGCATTCTCCAGCCATCGTAAACTAGTGGGAGAGTGGGAGTTACTGCAGCCCTGTTTTCCTTAGAATGCCACAGCAGCTACAACCCCTGTAACAATTGCCAGAAATTCAGCTTTCCACAAGAACCACCAAAGCGTCTGTTGCATTTGAAGTCAGAGAGTCTTACCGGAGACTTACGTGACAGAAATCACAGAGAATGTAAGGATTTGGTTACCATTTACTCAAGTGTAATGACTAATCTTTAAAGTAAGGAAGAGGAATGATCTACCACAAAGCAAGCCAGGACATAACCAAACATCCGCTGCTGCGTGTTAACTGCTCACGTGATGGTTCTTACCTGTTTGCCACAGGCACGACCACACTGACAGGCAGTGAGAACACATCGCTGTGCCATGGTAAAACTACAGCCTCAGTTAAGTCCCAGTGCCACCTCACACACTTGAAACCCAAATATAATCAAAGTCATTCAAATAGAAAACATGACTCCAGTCATCTACTACCACAACTGGAGCAGTAATACTTCAAGCGGCAACATATTATCAGTGTTACCTTCTACACCAACAAATGAAATAAAGCCACTGACCTGGAAACAGGCAAAGAACATCAAGGATACGAATGGGAAGAAAGGTCTAGAAAAATTCAAGCGCTAAGCAGAGTGCAGTTTTTCACAGATGTGATAGGAAAACATCTAAAAAAATGTAAATGTTTAGCTGAAAAACAACTATGACCTCTTATTCATTTGTGTAAATTTAAAAAGTATGTGCAGCTTGGAGATTATCTAGTCCTAACACAACGGAAGTCAGCTCGTTTTTCTGAAGTTTGCTCTACTGACAGTACTTTGCACTTGATGATTCCTCTTTGGATATTACTTCTGGTAACAAAAATAACCAACACCACATATGGATTGATTGCACTGGAAACTTTCAATATCAGCCTTAAGCGGCAGAAGGAAACTCTAGGTCACACGGGAAAACAACTGACCAAAAGCCACCTCTTCAGAAACTGTGCACACTCCAGTCAATCTGACACTCGGCCTTAAACCTCTTCCCCTTGCAGCAGAGTGTAGCACAATCCACTGGCACGCAGCCTTTCGCACTAAAGAGACTGAAAATCTCCTGCAACGGACCTTTGAACAGTTCATTTATGAGTGTGTTCGCATCGTCCTACACATGAAGAGTTTTAAAACTCAAGAGGAGCACGATTGTGGCGTGCCTGGACAAGTGTCCGGCTCTGTACGCGCTCACTCGCCCATGGAAGGCGGCTCTCCAGAGGCAGCCTGAGGGAAACGGGGCTCCGGACAGACTAGCCCTCGGAGCAAAAGTGTCTGTGCAAGGGGCCCGGAACCAAACCCGAAGGGCGGGCTGCGCCAACTCCGACCACCCTCTCCTCAGGGAGAAGCGGAAGACCCCAGGGTGGGGCGGAAGAACGACCCCGCCCCTCCCCCGGGAACGCGCCGGGGGCCGCACCTCTGGCTGCCCACAGCGCACAGACAGACCGACAGGCAGGCGGACAGACCGACAGACAGACACACCCCCGCCATCCCCGCGTTCTCTCACCAAGGCCTCTGCCATCCCGGGCCGGGGCTCGCGCGCGCCCCGCGCGCCGCTCTCGAACCTGGGCGCCTTTCCCACCGCGCGCGCACCCACGGCCGGCGGGGACAGCGGCGCCCCGGCCACGCCCCCCCGCCTCCGCCTCATTGGTCGGTGGCCGCTGCGCGCCAGTCAGGGACGCTACTTTTTGGCGCGCGCAGGAGCGGGGGCTGTCTCTGCCCTGGGCTACTTTCTTGCCTTCCCTTCCCTGCAGTCCGTCCTTCCCCTTTTCTACTTCCCTTTCTCTCTTGCTTAGCTCAGTCGCGCAGCTTCCCATTCTTCAGTGACTCCCAAAATCCACCTCTCTTTCCCGCACTCAACTCTCCAGCAAATTGTAATGGACACTTCCACAACTGCACACCTTGACAGTTTCGCGTAATTCTTCTCCGTACGGTCCTGACTCTTTCGGCGCCCTGTCTTCTGGGAAACAACATCCAGTGCAAAAAGCCATTCTGACGGCTTTTTGTCTTTATC